TTACAAGGTTGTAACAGTTGAGACCAAATTATTTGGCAAGACACATATCAAGAGATAATAAAAGGAGCAAATATTCAGTATACAATTTAAGTGGTTTCGATGTGTTAGTGAGAAATATTTGGTTTGACGCACGTGGAAATTAAACCTGCACTGAGTGATAAAGCAAAATTACATAGGCCTATCGTATTCAGAATATGAGTATGGTGACTCCGAAAAATGACAGACGTGAGGCCATAATTGATTCTACGTTTAGTTCTTTATTGGAACATTGTCAAGAATATCAATTTTGATACTGGGCGTTTGGATGGTCATTAATTTGAATTAGGCCTATAATTCCAATTGGAATAGTAGTTACAGGACCTCTCAGAATAAGATTAATATTAATGTATTTATTTATATAACACCATTTTAGAAGAAAAGTAAATTACAATTTAAAATGTCCTAAAAAAACCAAAATTTAAAAATTTGCCTTGTTACATTGATGTAAAAGAAGATTATTGTATAATGCATTTATGTTATGAGGGCCCTTGATATCAGCTCTTCAGCAACGAGGAGCTGAACGGGTCACCGTCGTTAAAAATGATTAAAATAAAATAACAAAATAAAAACAAAATAAAAATAAAAAATAAATCAATAAAATAATAATAATAATAATAATAATAGTAATAATAATAATAACAACATAATAAAACATTATCATAATTTAACAAACGATTATTTGTCACGGGGTTTACCCCGGTGTACTGGCTGTCTCTTATACACATCTAGATGTGTATAAGAGACAGCACTCTCTCTCTCTCTCTCTCTCTCTCTTTTCTCACTTCTACACATTCAACACATTCTAAAAAAATATACCGGTACGTTGTGTATGGGCGTTAATAGTTTTTTTTTTATCATAAAAGCATCGTATCCAGATCAAGATTGGGAAAACTTCCCCTGGCAAACTAGCAATACACTAAATTATCACAACTAATTATGATGACATGTACATGTATTACTCATTAACTACCTTATCCAAATTAATTTATCTCAGCTAATGGTCTCAAGAGAGATCTTAGAAAGAAATATGTTAACAGAGTGTATACAAATCAAGGTTGATAATAATAATAATAATAACGGAATAATAATAGGCCTAATAATAATAATAGGCCTAAAACCTATGGTGCTATTATTTACTGTAATAATATTCGTATTTTTTTCTTATTCCGACAATAATTTATTGTTTGTCCCAATGTGTCCCAAAACCGAAATGGCCGGAAAAGACTTTCAAAGCTTGAACACAGTACGCATCGGAAGTTGGTAATATGCCTTAGCATACCCTCGGACCGCTGCCCGCAACAACAGACCTCGAGTGTACAAATTTGGACCGCGAACTTTAAGATGTATGTGCATTGTCTGTTTCAGTCAATCAGACCAAAACCGACCAAAACATTAACATTTTACAAAGTTCGCCAACTATGATACAGTAATGATAGTATTCCTTGTGGGTCGGGTCGGGTCTATTTCAGCTGAGAATGCAACCCTATTGCTTTCGGATCGTGAAGTTAAGGCTTATGGGAATTTTCTGAAGTGAGAGAATAATAATGATTTTTATTGTGATTTACAAAAGTTCCGTTATTTATAATTTTATTTATTAATTATTATTTATTATTGTTTATATCAACTAATTTGTATGGTAATCCACGCACTTCGGTACGGTATATAATTACATTTGCCTATGGAAAATTTTAAGGGAATTGGAATAATTATAGAGATTTATTACAATGAACATAGTTACGGTATTGTTTAATCGTGCTTTTTAACGTTAGACTCTGAATTACTAAACGGGCATGCGGCTGTTTGCTTTTCAGAGTATTACAGAGTATTAGGCTCCTGTGTAAAATGTTTTTATATATTATATACAATATACAAGATATGTACAATATTTTTATGAACTTCCTCCGGCAAAAAAAACCCCAAAAAACATGACAAATGTTGGCACCGCATATGCATTTTGAAATTATTATTATTATTATTGAATAGGTCTATGTTATTATATCGCTTCAAACAAATCAAATACACCTAGGTAGTCGTAGACTGTGGCTTCAGGGTAAGTTACGATACATTATGCATGCATTTATAGATAACATAACATACCTGACTTTTATTTTAAATTTATTGTCGAAAACATTTCTACTTAGTCACCCTGATATCTGATGATGTGTAACAAATATGACAGATAATATGTAAGCCTTATATAGTGCGAAAAAAGCTTTTCTGCCTTCACAATTATGACATTAAGAGGTATTTGCTAGTCGTTATAAAATTCAATTAATTTTGGATTACTTTTCTCGAGTGATGCGTTATTATTCTTACACTAACGGGGTCGAATTAGAATTGCATTAATAAAACGAACATAATTTTCTATTACACATAAACACAAAATCAGTATGCAACATGGAAGACGGAATGAGAAACGTATGCTTGTTGACTAACTGGATGAGAACAACGTACGGTAGTCAAAAACGGTCGACAATTACAACGACAATATTTTATTTCTCGACCCCTTGCGTTTGCGAGGTATAAAAGATAAATCATTCAGTAGTGGTAAAATTTAAAAATATACAGTGATCAGAAATTAAATATCAAATGAACAAACAGAATCGATGCACACAACAACAATGGAACTGATAATTAGGCTTACGCTAACCAAGGAAACACAATATGTCTCCATAAATTCAGCTCCAACAGAACAAGATTAGACAATTCATAGGACCAGAAATCAATAGTTTAAAAACCAAAAAAATCAAGAAGTGGTGTTTTACTTACAGATGATATATATATTTCCCGGGTTTGTGCTCTGTCACTCAAGAATGTCCGCGCTTGAGCAACTATATAAATGCAATGTTTATTATCGGATGCAATGCATTGATCCAACTGCTACTACTAATAAAACGTCATCAGCATTTAAGCCAATTGTATCATCGCTGAGAAGACGTACATACAGACAGTAACCAACATTTTTATTTCCACAATGTTTAAAGTAGGTGACCCTTTCCAGCATAGCTTATAGTAGTAATACGTAGGGGCATACTTTGACAACTCAAAGACAATACAGAAAAAGAGAAAATAAACGGTAATTACATAAAAATCAAGAATTAATAGATTTATAATATTTATACATAGTTTAAAAAGGTCAGTTATAATACATCATTGAAGTAAAAATTCAATTGCAAATAGTGAATAAAGATAAAGGAGAACATCAATAGAGCGACAGCGAATACCATCGATCGAAGAAGATGGACTTGAATCTGGTTTTAAATGTTGCCAGGGAGTGAGTGTTTTTCATCGAATATGGGAGTGAGTTGAGAATAGTAGGAGCAAGGTAACTGAAGCTAGCTGCATTTAAAAATTTCTAATTTTGGGCTGGGAATGTTAAGATGATTGAGGGAGATAGAACGGGTAGTGATATTTCTTTGAGGGGGAAACGACAGACGTCGGCATAAGTATTGTGGTGCTAATTCTTTAAGAGATTTAAAAGCGAGGGAGCCAAGTTGAAATTCCACTCGCTGAGAGACAGTCATTAGGTGCAAAGTTGAGAAAGGTGCAGAAGGGGATTGCGAGGATGTACTTCGAGAATTAAGCGAAGAGATCGATTTTGCAGCTTCGAATTTTGTGGACATTCTGGATGCTTCTTTTACCCCAGATGGAGGCGCAGTAATCTATATGAGGCAGGGATATTAATAATTATTATCTGTGGACAGTGTGCGCGATACCGTAACGGTAATGCATAGCTGAGCATAGGCCTACTTAATCCGATACGACTTAAATGTGCGATTCCCACGATCTGACGTAGGCAGCGAATAAGACGGTGCCCGTGGTGGTGCGCATAAACATGCGCGCTGTAATACAGCCAAAATAAAAATGACATATCTCACATGACTATTTCAACTGGCACATTTGAATGTATGTTTGACATTATTTGAAAATATTTGACGTTAGCTAATATCACTTTCATATGTTGATGTCGTGGCATTAGGCAAAACAATACCATTGTTACATGTATTGCGATACATTTTTAATTTGCGTAAAATATATCTATAATATGTATTTGCCTGTTGGGAAATCAACACTCCATTAACGATTGGTTTTATGTCGTTTGTCAAACCAGGGAACAGTGAATCAAACCATTTATTATTGGACTAGACAAACCATTAAAATAGGTCTACACCTTCATCATGTTTATGTATTGTACAATCCACTAATCGTCTTCATGTAACAGTCATTGCTCTGAAAATAAAATACTGACATTAAGAAGGTAACATTTTATTAGCCAGTAACCGTCCCTTTACATTTGAACATTACTCTTCATATTTGTATAGGCCTAGTAACTTTGTTCATTATTTTTCTTGTAATTTTTTGTATTTTTTTTATATTATATGGATTATCTGAATTAATGGACCTTCCCGGAGTGTCAATCAATCTTAAAAATGACCAATCAGGACAGTGCCAGGAATACGCGCATGTCACATCTAACAAGCAAACGTGTTTTGCGTATGTTCTAACATAGGCCTACTAGAAAGTTTCCGCAACCTTATGAAAACGATAACGAATACGTCATCTTCGTTATCGTCATTTGTGCCTAAAACATTCTTTTTGAAATACATGTAAGAGCTGAATATGATTGTTGATTCGTGTAGAAGGCATAGAAATATAAAGGCATTAGAATTTTTATTTATGTTTTTATATATTTAATGTAATCTTTTATGTATTTTGTAAATATTCATTCCTAATTTGTAAATGCGTATTTTAATGTTTTTGTGTAATTTCATTATTTGTAATTAAGGCCTTTATATTTTTGTAAATGCAATAATTTTAGCCTGTGGGGCGGAAACGTTCATCTTAATATCGATGAGGGTACTAGTACATCGTTTGTGCATCAGAATCAGAATATATAAATTCTATATTTGTTAAATAAGTCAATCAACGAATTTTCAAAACATAGCAGTAGAAACTGAATTTCGTTTTAGAATTTTCAACAAGAGAACAATTAAAAAGGACCTTGAAGTCAAACCAAAAACAGTAGCTGTTTGATCTGTACCACAACACTACAATATTATATAGGCCTATACACTACTGTATAATATTATTATGGTTAGGTCTATTATTACAGTAGACAACATTTGTAATTAAATTACGCTTGTTCACCCTTTAAAATGTTTCCGCACCTCGTATGTCTGCCGAAAATACAAACAATCTGGTTTATCTCTCATTTCACTGACTCTTATAACGGTGCGTGGCCTTTAATATATGATATCAATTTAATTGGTAACGGAGCACCGGTGACATAAAATTATCTGTATACGAATCCATCGTTCAGTAATTACGATATCGTATACTGTAATCATAATTCTGAATAACAATTGATTTTAAGAATTGACTGTATTATATTCATATAATTTCACAAGGGATTGGCCTAGTAAACGGTGAGCGTGCCTCTGGAGACAATTGACAATATATTTTATAACTCTGGCGTTTTTTTCCATATAGAAATTAATCTTTATTGATTGTTTTTTTTTTAAATATTCAACGGATTATCGATCGATCTAGAGGCTGAAAAATGCCCTGACGCATTCGATTGAAGCTAAATTGTAAATAATTAGGCCTAATATAATAACATGATTTTTTTTTGTAGTCGAATGATTGTCAGGACTACCAATTAGGTACATACCCCCTGGAAGTCATGGCGCTTTAAGTAATAGTTTTCTCGAGTTGCTAGGATGGTTGTCAGTGCAACAACATGTATGAATATTTCTAGAGCATTATTAAAATAATATCACGTAGATCTCCGTAGAAGATATGGTAGAAATGAGGGGTATGTTATTTTGTATATGTTCTCTGTAGTTCACATTACACGGAGGTTTAGCAGATGGATGATTTATGGGATGTCACAAGCTAATATTTGAGGTAACTAGTCATCCGTGGGTACGACATTAAACTCAATCTGGTCGAGTCATCGGCGAATCAACTAACAGCACTCACAGATGTGTTTTAGTGACTGCTGGGAGGGGGAGAGCTATGGTCACCACGCAGCAAGAAAAACAAAACTGAACAAGGGGTGATGCGCTGGATTAGATTGAACTGGATTTGGATTGGATTTATTCGGTGTGAACACCAAGGATAGCCCACGAAAGTCGAAAGTCTAGAGAAGAAGACTTATTTCCAGTGGGGTCCTTCTGGTGGTGACTGGGCAGTACACCGGGAGACAATCCCCTACTCTTTTCCAAAGAGTGATCTGCGTTCTTTAACGTGCACATGGGCCATAAATACACACGGGACCAACGGCCTAAACGTCTCATCCGAAAGGCGGTGCACTATTGTAACTTGTATATCAGCCCTCTAGCTGAAACACAAGGAGAGGTAGCGATGGGAATTGAACCGGGGACCTAGATATCTCCACGGTTCAGCGCACACACCAAATTAGCCGACTGAGCTAAGCTGCTCTCAACCGTGGGTATCTCCGTCGGTGTTGTATACTATTGCGATCGTATGGGTTACAGTGGTGCGCAAGATCTTCCCCGACAGACAGGGGGACTAGTACCCCGACATCGACATCCTTTTTAAATAATGAATCCCATAATTAACACAATATTTTATTATCTTTTAATAAAAAATATTCCCAGACAAATTTATTTTTCCCGACCGGGGGTGGGGGGGGGGATGGGGCCGCTAGGCTTCGCAGAATCGGGTGGACCACTTGTCGGAGAGATTGGGCCCCTCGTCGGAGAATCCTGGCGCCGCCCTTGACAAAGAGAGATAGGAATTGAACCGAAGACTAAGAGATACCCACGGTTCAGAGCATACCACCAATTTAGCTGATTGACCAGCTGCTCTCACACTTCAGAGTCAACGGCCAACCTTTGTTTTAAGGAGTAGGAGTTCTATTGTACTTTACACTATAATGCGTATGCCTATGTTATGCCTCGCCGAGTAGAACCCTGTAGCATTTAACCTGAGGCTTGATGGGTACTGGCCTTCCTATTAATGTCTATCCTTGGTTCAATCATGACCAATAATAGATGGATGATAGATCACACTGGTTAATATGTTGTAATACAAATATAGCCTATGATATCACCATTTGAAATACACGTGCAATGGAAATAAGTTTTCTCCATGGGTTATCATTTGTGTTCACGCCGAATAAATCCAATGCAATCCAAAGTAGACCAAGTCATACGATGTGAGCTTGCCTTGCTTTACTGACTCGAAATTATCGAATATTGATTTAGACATAAAAATTACCAAGTGAAAAAAAAATCACCAGGTTCGATTCCAAGAACCTATTACGAGTTTAAATTATAGGTATGATGTACAACTTATATAAACAAATAGATAAATTATATTAACAGTGCTAGAACATGTGATGTTATAATCGTATCAAACATAGGGGTATGAAGCTCATCAATAAAAAGTATTTAGTTGTATGATTGGGATCGAACCTGCAGCCTCTCGCTATACAGGCAAGTGACATACGACATAGCGCAGATTTAAACGCCAGATATATTTTCTCATCATACAGCTGGCGTTAGCGCTCACATATAATGGAGTTGCTCATCCTACTTATCCTAAAGAGCATCGTGATTGGGTAATACAATCGATGAAAAAAAGACATTGTATACAATTCGGTTTAAATGTAAATTGTTCTACTAATTCTTTCCTTTAGGCCTGACCAGGAGCAACAGTGTATGGGTAGGAGTGACAATAACAATAAATCATCCTAGAATAGTTAAAATGTTCTCGTATAAGCGGATTCACAAATTAACACATTCTGTAAAATTGTAATGGAATTCATCCATAACAGGAGGTGACGAATTGCAAAGTAAGGAATTCTTGGGCCGTAGGCCAGGTGGCCACTCAGGGC